CATTACAACACGAATTAATTTTTAATAAAAAAATCTTCCAGTTATTCGTACACTAGGGACTGCTCTTTAGTATCATTTTTTAAACGTTAGAGATTCTGATGCTGACTGGCGAGCATAACTGAAGTAGTTAAAAGTTTTATATTTGACCCTGACAGAGGCCCTTTTTCAATTTGGCCCTTTTTCAAACATAATTAGAGGAAATAGCATACGGCATCTCATGAATTTCTCTTTAGGGTAGACTAACAGGCACAGAAATGCCAATGAATTTCCAAGTAAATTATTGAAAAATAAGGTACTCCATGTAAAAAACCCTATGAAGGAAAACTCAGTGTGTTGCCCAAGAAGTTCTTCTGACAATTCACTAGAAGGTTACTGGCAAAGGAAAATTTCCTCTAGAAAATCTTAAACAACGATAGGGGATACGTTTTTATAAAGGAGTCATTGCAACAAGAAATAACCATTAGACGACAGTAAAAAATTGAATTAGCATTAAAAAATGACTTTAGTAAAAATATCAAATTGTTCGTCTCACTGTAGAGCGAAAGCATTTTTACTTCTGCTTATACTAAGGTCAACAGGTTGTAGACAATTACTGTCAACAACGAATATTAAATTCGTGAAGCAAAATTGTTGTGAGAAGTCTCTATAAAAGTCAAGTGCGGAAAGACTGGTCTTACAAAAACTTGAGACAACGATTTGTAACAAGAACTCAAAAAGTTACGTTTATAGCAAATGACAGAGTTGTCTACAAAAGCGCGCTTTGAATTCTATACTGATCTTTACTCCTGCGGAACAAAATTATGCTATGGAAGATCGATTCAGAGAAAAAAAGAGTACAAAAATAACAAACTCTAATTCCACTTGGAACTCACTCACTCATCTCCAATCCTCGTACGATGAAGCTGAAGCCTTGATAACAGCTATTTGAAATTGAACGGTGCCCTTCAAACAAACTTTTAAACAGAAACAAAAACAAAGGAAAGAATTAACGTATGAGCAGAAATATGAATAAAACTGCAACCATTATATCAAAAAAGTAAACAAAAGCAATAATGCAAAACCTATGAAGAAAAACTATAAAGTTTCGGGCACTAATTTATCAAAAAGTTAGTCTTATTTACGGAAAATACATAAAAGGCCCCTAAAAACACAAAAGTTTTGCTTCTAACGATTTTTCTTTGCAGGCGGTCAAATCGTCTGATGATGCTTACTTGACGTTTGGCGAAGCAACACAAGAAAGAAAAACTGTACCCGAAGAGCCATGGAACGAAAACATAGAAGATATGACCATGACGACAAAGAAAAACCAAATTCCCCAGCCTCCACAGTCTAAGGAACCTACAGTAGATCTAGTCCACAGAATTGAAAAAATTGAACAAGGAAGTGTAGTCGAAACAGACATTCGACGACAACAGAGTGAAACAAAAGAGATAATAAAACCGAAGGAGCCCGGAGAGCTAGATACGGCAAGACTTACGGAGAACGTCTTGCAATACGAAATGGCGAACAAAACACATGAATTCCATCCACAAGTTTCAATGACAACAGAAGCGCTTAAAACCTCACAAGAGAAGAACAAGAAGGAATTCATGGAAAAACCTCTAGAACAACACATTCTTGAACTAGAAGAACTCACAGCCGAATCTGAACAGCACATTTTGACGAAAACGCGGGTAATACAAATTTCAGAAGAACAAAGTGAGATTAGTGTAAAGAAGCCTCTACAAGAGGACATTCCTCAGCACGAGGAACATAGTTTTATGGAACCTCAGCCAGACGAGCGCACTCCAAAGATGGACGAAGAAAAGTACGACGCACCTGAATCTGAAGTGGAGGTCATGACGACAACGCGGGCGCCAGAAATTTCAGAAGAAAA